AAAACCACCCCGCTTCGTCTCGTGCTCCAGGCCGGGGCAGCAGTACCTCATTGCTTCGTTGGGCTTGCCCTGCAACCCGCATTTATGCTTAGTTTACCGGAGTAACCGGAGGCTCAATCCTCCGTTCCGTATTCATGTGGTCTCATAGAGACCTTACACAGTTAACCAATTATGTTGTACGTATGAGGAATAAGCCTGATACCATATAGACCCAAGCTATTTCGGAAAAATCTAAGACTTAAAGTACGTAGGTGTGGGAGAACTATGGTCGACTCGACCGAAATGATACCGCGGCCTCACAGAAAACTGAATGAAACAACCACAACGTCGTGATTCGCCGTCAGAGTGAGGCTACGTCTGACGGCCGTCTCTCCCCATCCTTTTATTCCCTCCGACCCTAAGTCTCCAAAACCCTACTTTCCAGAAGGTCAGCAACGTAAACTTAACTCCGCATTTGTTGCGGGTGTCTATGGCCGGCGCTAATTGATTACCATCAGGTCTGTGCGTTTGCCGTCATTTCAAAAGAAACATATTTTCCTGCTCCGGAATCAAAAACCCTCACGTCTAGTCTGCAATTGATCATGAAGCCAAATTTACGAAAACGCCATTTTTATTTTAAATTTGTTGAACTGCTCTATTTAATTATTCTGTGGCAGAGGTACAGAAGTCGTGTATGAGAAATTTATTCCGGTCTCGTCCAAAGTTGGCTCTTTGTGTTGCTAATTCCATTTTATTCTTTTCTATTCTGGTGTCATTTACCTTGGGCCACGTCGTTATAATATTCAACCAGAGATCTTGGTAATACTTTTTTCTTTTCGTCAACTGTTATCTTATCGTAATGGTTTGATTAGTTTTAAAATTGATTTTATAGTTATTATATAGTCTGTTTTATTGTACTATTTTAGCAAAATAAAATGATACCAGTTAAAACAAGAGAACAATATATCAGTCTGTCCCATATGTGTAAACAAATATTTGATAAATTGAATGCTACAAAAAAAAACAACAACAATAAATCAAATAAATGTTATTTAAAAACATTTAAAAATATTATTGCCAAACATGTAACAATTTGATAAATCATAATATTGGTGTGTTTATATTAGCACTCAAATAAAACAATATAAAACAAAAACAACCTAAAAATATAACGAAATAATCGAGTTATTTTTTCGACTCACTCATCTAACGTCAATAAAATTTCTCGTCCCTTAACATCAAAGTAAATAAAACATTTTATTAACAAACAAAATAATCTTCGAACACTTCAGCTGTCCGCTTCTTTTGGGCAAGCACAAAAAAGCGGTGACATTTTTCTTTCGCTCGTTCTTTTTTTTAACAAAACTTGACAACGAGTTTATTGTATCAATGGACAAAGCGAGCAACGGTCAACGTTTTCTCAATTTAAGTACGTTCGAATAAATAAAGATATTGTTTTAAGAAACTAAAATAAAGTTTATTTGACGGTTTTTTTTTTGTATTATTGTAAGTAAGTTTGTTAGCGAATACTAAGAAAATCTTGTGCCTACATCTGAATTGAACAGATCTTCGTCTCGTCAGTATCAAGTCTTTTTCTATCTCTTTTTATGAATGTAGGAAGTTAAAAAAATCTATTATATGCGATACAGCGTCAAACAAGATGATATCTTAGTTTATGCTAAGCAATCGAGAAATGGAATCGTAACAAGAGGGTGTCCATACCAATGCCAGAGGACTTGCATGTGCGTTGCTGGCCTTTTGGGGATAAAGGTTTTTGTAAATAAGAGATGGAACCCCTTCCATCTCTCATTTACAAAAACCTTTGAGGTGATGTTTTTGGGCTCCGGCAATAGCGTCACTCATGCGACGAAACACAATGTTGTAATTGTTTAATGCCGATTTTCTGTAAAGTTGTGTCATTCCGGTTGGGTCAGCCCATGGCTATTTCACGCTTTATAACCCTGAGATCTAGCCATTACTTATACCGACGAGGAGTTTCTAAGAAAAATATTCCAATTACATATTCTATAACAGTTTTTGTTTAATACACATGCCACTGCCTGTCTCGCTGACCACCACGTCACGCATGTCAACGTGACACGACAGTTTACTATAAGAGAAAAAACAGTATTTCGCCTGCAACAGGGATGTCTGTAGTTATGGTATAACTGGAATAAAATCCGTAACTGGAACCGAATCCCCTGCGCTTTTTTTTGTGACAGGACGGTAAACAAGCACCCGGATAACATGATACCACCACATGTCACCCATGGACACCCGCAACAACAGAGGAGTTACTCGTTGCCAACCTTTTGGTGATTACAGATGTGGAGATTGGGGGTCCGGTAACCTCACTTATCACTCACGCCGGTTTCAATGAGGCCGTCGTATCACTCCGGTCAAGTCGATCCATTTGTGCCGAAGCATGGCTCTCCTAGCGTCTCCTAGTATGGCTTGCTTAGAAAAAACCACATCTAAAAATTACCAACTTGATTTATCACAGTTTATTATATCCTAACTTTACTAATTATAAATCTTAATCAAATCACGTTTTAAGTACAAATTCATCAAACCCCAAGCGAACGCCGGCGTCCGGCCCTTTTGTCTTACTATTTTGTCTCTTAGTACCACGATTTGAAGGTAAATGTACCGTTTACTGTTTCTAACTTTTATATTTATGAATATTATTCTTCTATGCAAATTTCCGTGTATCCCTATTCAGATCCAAAATGTCACATGCGTAACACCCCTAGTCTGACGTCACGCGCCGAATAAAACGGTGCATAGCGGAACAAATCTATTGTAGCGTTTGCAACCGCGACCAGGACGTGGAGAAAATTTAAAAATGAGATTTTCTATTTTTGGCTACGATTTTGTTAACAAAGGATTTTTGTGAGGGAAAATCATCAAATGACTTCTCCTACCTGGTTGCGCTGGAGGGAGTGTCAGACTGACTGAAGAAAAGGAACAGACGGGTGCTGTTCCTTTTCTTGCCTTGGGCAGAGGTCGCAGTGGCTCATTGCGCTGGCGCCGCATCCACGGCTGAACATCAGCCATATAGGGCCCCGTGCGTGATGGTCTATTGGATCTTGTAGGCGTGCGCGGACCGCTACGCGCTGTACGTTTGGGTGTGGTTCTGGTCGGGCGGCGAGTTACCCTTACTCGCCGTCCGCAGACCCGCACTGTAAACAAAGGATGGAATTGCTATATTGGCTGCCTTCTTTTTTATCATTTTTGAAGTCAAAGAATTAACACAACTTATACTCACCTGATTTTATTAACTGAAAAACGTCTAGTTTCAAGCTACAACGGGACTCTTACTCATGAGCAGAGTGAGAGTGCGCGTCACAAGACTTAAAGACTTGACTGTACTACACAAAAAATGTCACAAAACTTAAAGAACATGTATACATGTGATCACAAAAACACTTGATAAAGGCATCGAAAGATTTGTCACAGCTTTCCTCGTGGAAACATGTCAACTACAGAGTACACTTAAACTTCTTCCGGTAGGTATGTCACATGTGTCAAATTAAGGTACCGTACACTGTGGGACAAAACTATTGTAGCGTGCACGATGGAGACGTGGATTTTTTGTTAAAAACATTGGTATTTTTTTATTTATTTACATTATTATATTTATAGTTATTATTTGTTATTTTATTATTTATAGGTCTTTAGCCTTTTTCAAAGTATAATTTTGCAAAATTGAATATTCAGGAAATATATTTTCTTTATTAAATAATTTCATAGACTTTCTGTCTGGGATCGTACTTAGAGATACAAGAATAGTGAATAACATGCATAAAAATATGTCTGTAATCCCTCAACGAATAAAGACGCCCCAAAATTTGCGAATAATCTCCCTAGTTTCCCTAGAATTTCATTATCAGACTGTCCTGACTATGTGACAATGGGATCACGTTGAAAGTACAAGCTTTCAAAAAAATAATCATTAAAATTGGTTAATAATAAATTATTCTCCGACAAACGAAAAAAAATATTGAGGAATATATCTAATAGAAGTAGGTTTCTCAATTAATTCTCAATTTTTATCGTTTTGGGATTTGGTTATGAATGCTGTCGCAACGGAATGTTTTTATATGTGACAGTGACAGCAACAATTTTATTCCTCAGATAGCATTTATCTGACTATTGAAAAATCTGTCCTAAATAAAATAACATAGGTATCTATTCAGTAGCAACTCAATCAAATTAAAATGTTCTTACACGAAATTCGAAAAAAGAAACAAAAACCACCCAATGTTATCTTTGGAAAACTCTAGCATTATCAGTACCAACCAGTATTTTTCCAATTAGGTATACCCAATTCCAAAAATACTTAACAATCTCGTTAATCCCAAATAAATTGGACAAGCTGGAATGGATTATCGATAATAGGGGATATGTTTCAGTCTTTATTTTCATTCTGAAGGGCTTTGTTTTTAGATTCCAATATAAAAACTTATTTTAGGTAAAACACTGTATTGAATATACGTATGAAATTGAGAACATTATATTCTATAGTTTATTTTAATAGGGGATTCAGGTTGCCTATAATAACCTTATCTTACTAGACGTAGGTTGTTAGTTCATTCAGAGGTCATGGTCATGTTATATAAGGGAACTTGTAATGCAAATATGATACCTTCGGCAGATATATGTTGATAAAAATGTTTGTTTTAAAAAACGTTTTTATCATTAATCCTACATGATAGGGAACTAAGCGACGACGACTGTCGTCGCTCCATTCACCGATAAAAAAAGAATACTTTAATAATACATTTTATGTTTGATATGTACAAGGAATACTCTCCTACTTTTCCAAATATCACAACATAAAAAGGTACAAGACAAAGAATGATTTTTTACACAACAAACATTTTCTACTACTACTACTTAAACTACGAAATAAATTAAACATAACGCCCAAATTGAGAAATCCGATAAGCATATTTCATTTCACCATTCATTACCGATCGCAATGGTACTTACATAAATATTTTCGTTGTAAAACAGCAATGGACGACAACACAATATTTTACACCATGGTAGGCTCTAGGAACTGAAATTTATGAGGCAATTGGACGTAATAAGCATCCGATGACAGTTCCGCTCATAATAAACCCCTACATTGATCGCTGGATAGCTAGGGATTGATTAACTAGCTATCGATAAAAATGTCGATAAAATCGCATTCTAAACCTTAACTGATTCGTATTTTGAAATAAGATAAAAGAAAAATTTCTAAGTGAATCGTAGGTAGGTAATTTTCTTCACTAAAATAACAACAAACAACATTCAATAATTTATGAACGTCGTTCTTAAATTCGTCATACTACACACACGTACATATAACAAACATTTTCATGAAATTGTTATAATTAATCGCAAATTGCCAAAAAAAATACACGTAAATCTGGGTCTATTATTGCCACGTTTGATAAGATGCTTGCTAAATTTTCACATTATTGTTATTGAAAATAAGAGAATGTTTTTTTTAATGGGACAAGCCCGCCTCTACTCCCCATTAACCAATGCAACTCCTGTAAGCTAGGATCTACATTGAATACAACCATGAAAACACCGGAATTCTGAAGTCCGGCGCGTCCCAGGGACATGAATGACTGTCTTAGATCCCGCAACGAAATAAATCAGAAGATATTAATCGAGGAGAAGAAAAAAAGAAAAGGATGATTATTTTATCAGCACCTCAACGACTAATTATTATTATTATACTCTTAACAGACTTGAAAGTTAACCTTGTTTTATACAAACGTTGGCGAGTACTCAACCGAAAGGCAGTCTATCGATAAAATAAATCATAGCCAATAATGTTATTGTCAGCGTATTAGTGGATGGGAATTTATGGCCTATTTATTTGGATGTTGAACATAATTTTATGCTAGTTTCCGTTTGCGAATTATATCTACTAAACTATTTGCTTGATTTACTTTATGTTTACTTAAATATTTATTGATCTGAGTATTGTTAAGAACGATTGGTTTTAGCTTGAATTAATGTTTACTGACATCATGTTATCGATAAAACATCGTCAATATCATTATTTTCATAATGCTTTTGGTATTCGCTTTACTTCGTCTATTATCACTAATATCTAGTGATTTGTGAAATGCATTTTAGAGCTTTTGCAATGTGGATGAATTGGTGACCGTATATTATTACCACTTGAAAAAAAAATAAACTAAACTAATATAAAACTGACTGCACGGTTGGTGCGGTGGCTGGGCAACTGGCTGCCGTGCAACGTGTCGCGGGTTCGATTCCCGCACGGAACAACTCTTTGTGTGATCCACAAATTGTTGTTCCGGGTCTGGGTGTCTTGTGTATGTGAAATTGTATGTTTGTAACAGCACCCACGACACAGGAGAAAATCCTAATGTGGGGCAACGTTTTTAAAAAAAATAAAAAAAAAAAAATAAAATAAAAAAATAAAAAAAAAAACTAATTTAATGGTTTTAAATTTATTTGATATAATGATTTACTTAAATTACAACTGGACTCCTAATGACGAAACGTTGCGTTGCCTATGGTTAATTCTCGTCAGCAACTCATTACCATCAATAAACGTATAGTGTATGTAGTATAATCTCACGTTACTCACGTTACTTACTTTAGCTCTCATTGTACAAAAACACCTGATATTATAAAAATATTTCCTGTGCATTAAAATTTATCGATAAAACGAAATTGAATAGCCCATCTCTATCAGTAGAGCATTCCGTCGACAATGAGCGATGTAACACTCAATCATTGCCGCGTCTCTATCGTCTCTATGTAGAGACGCCTAGACTCCACCTATATATAACTTTGACTGATCACCGTCTACGTCAGTTATAAAGGGTTTCTCTACTATTGTAAGAGAAATGTGTTTATTTACAATTTTCGTATTTAAAGTTTTCTTTCACGATATAAATTGATATGTAGGTAAAATATATCTATTCGCCTGATAGTTATTTTGGCTATTGTTTGAAAGATTATATGTTTTGCTATAACATCCTTAAGAAAATTGTTTATTGCAATACTTAATTATTATTACTGAACTCTCCCATTTTTTGATCTTATTTCAACTCAGTATATTTTTATGATATAATTCTATAAAACATTGTTCAACTTTTATCTACATTATCCAACATTTTAAAAGACTTTCTTTTCTCTTATCTTTTTTAAAAAAGCCTTTTTATTTGTAATATTAAATTAAATTGCATCGTGCACAAGATTACTTTGTATCGAAATTAAATTAACTAATACCCTAAAAAAATATTTAAATGCAAATCATTTGGTGTACCTAGTATGTAAATTAATTGTATATTATAAAAGTTAAAACTGAAAAATCTGATCAAAGCACTTCAGCATTATCAACAAAATAACTATGAAACTAACAAACGAAGAACGAAACTCCAAGGCATAACAAGGAGTGTAACTAAAACTTAGTTAAACTTGAAACCCTTCAATCCAAAACTAAGTACAAGATCTAACCCTAAATCCAAATAACATTTGAGATGCTCCCTAACCACAAACCAAAAATGTTTAAACCATAATTAAAACTGAACCATCAGTTACGGTGACTGACGACTCTCTCAGTTATAACAACTTTGAACCAATTAATTCTTCTGTAACTACTTAGGTATTGAACAAAGTTTTTAATTTAAAACTACGCAAAGGACGTCAGGCGAAGTGTGTTCGGCCGTTACGTCAACTTGATAGTTAATTAAAACAGGCAAAGTTTTCTTTTTTCTTATTTTCAGGCCGATGTGGTTATTTGTATTATCGTCAGCCGTTTCGAGTTCACATTTTTACTGGTCTATTGTTAACTATGTTTATTTACCTTCACATATTTTCATTGGTTAAATATTGGTTTGGGTTCCGATTTTACTAATATATAAAAAAAAGAAAACTGCTCTCTCTCAAGGAATAAAATTTTTATTTACATTGCAAATGTAAATATTTAAAACTCTTGCAAGAACTGGTTTGTTGACCTTTGTCGAAGGTTCATATACTCAAAACCATTGGCGTCTTTTGTGGCTGATAGAATGAATAAAATTCAAATAAAAATGTCAATAATTGTGCAAGAAAATTTTTCTATGGTTAGCATTTTCCCAAATTGTCTTCTGAAATCTAATTAAGTACTTCAGAGACGATTTCAAAAAAAGAATTGTCAAAAGTCAGTCCTTTAGTCTTATACTTATTAAATGCTGACGTTGACTGATTCTCTGTCTAGCTGCAAAATAATGTCTTCATTTAGAGGTCTAACTTGGTATATCTAAGTGGAAATAAAGTATATTTTTCGAGACCTTAAAGTTTCAATGAGATTACAATATACATATCTGCCTACCTGTGACAACGTACATTTTATTATGTTTTTTTAACACGGTTACAGAATCGATAGATCAAAATGTTTCGTATAGTACTAAAAATGACCTGAAATTAGCTAGCCTAGGTTTTATGCAGTTTGGCCCGGCTCGGAGTAAAAGAAGTAAGAAGGTGTTCTTTTGTTAGTCACAGACTGACACTCTGTTGTACTGGGCGATCCAGTTCATGATATTTCATCATCAATAAAAAAACTCTAGATTTGCCGCTATACTGATATGTATGTTATCGTTTTGGAACCAAAACATCACCTAAAAATTGTTTAAGTAATTCATAAATGGTTCTAAGTTCCAACGGCAGTCAGTCTTTTTATTTTAAATACAAAATCTGCACTAGATCGGAAAAACGCACACGGATTTAATTGTCTCACACCCTACCACTTACTGAAAATATATGGAACGAACTATAATTAGCTAGCTTGACTGACTAGACCACCCTTTTTGAATCAATTTTGTTTTTCCACAGATCCAAGGCAAGCCAATTATTCAGCAAAGAATCCTGCCAAGTCCAGTGGTGTCAATAGATGCACCACACAACTTCAGAAGTACTGCAACTCCTGGTGATGAGCACAACAACATTATATTCAGCCCATGGAAGGCATTTGGACCCTTTGTGGATACCATTCAGGTACGAAAATATTTTTAACATGCAAAACCAACAGAAAATATCAGAGAATCCTCTTTTGTGCTTAAAAATTATGGCATCAGAAATGGGGCTGAAAAAAGTTTTTTTTCGATAAAATATTATACGAAAGGTATGTGTTACTGATCAAAAGAAAATTTAATTTAAGTCTGCATATATACCTACATTATTACGTGTTATTTTGGTAGGTATAGCGGTGAGGAACTTCTATCTTTTGTTTGGTAATATTTTTGTTTTTGAAACGCCCTCACTTCATTTTGTGTTATTGCCAAAACAATTTCAAAAAAGTTCAATACAATTTTCAATGTCAATTTTTGTCCTGATTTATAATAGCAAAACAGCATTTGAGCCTTTAAAACAAACTGACAGTAGTAAAATAAATTAAAATATATAACCTCTTTGCTCAATAAGCAAAAAGATAATAAAACATCTCATTAAAATACTAGGAATGTACATCAAATAATAATGAGCATTTCAAGATGAAACGCCGACGTAGAAAGAAATGAAAAATAATATTGTTATAAACATTTTTCCTTTATACTACTTACAAAAAAAAACAACTGGACACTGTAAGTCAAATTGAAGGACAAACAATTACATAGTATTCTCAAGGTCATAAAAAGAAACTTAAACGTAAGTATTTTAGGAAATGGCTATATATTCCATACTAAATTTTCTAGATAATTTAATTAGACATTGACTAGCTCCAACGCTAAATGTATTAGAGAAAGGACCAAATCAAGAATTAAGCTGCTATCTATGTCTAGGTTTAGGTCTATGCTATGTTTAGGTTTAGGTTAGGTTTAGGTAACAATTATAATAAACTATAGCTGACATCGACAGCAAAGCTTTTGGTTCGGTAGGTTAGCCACCACGATTTTCAATGGCCACCGAATTGTGGACCCTCTCAAAGGGTCCTTGCATATGCTGCTGACATGGCAAGCGAGTTGAGGATGTAAAGAAGGAGCGCGTGAGGGAAATATTCTCGCACATTGTACATTGTAGCTCGTCCTCCGACCAGAACTAGACCGCAAGGCCCAGCAAGCCACCACTGATGGGACTTACAACTGATGGGGCCCACAATTGTGGGGCAAGTGCAATAGCGTTCTGTGGTCCAGCCTGGCATAGGAGAAAGAATTGAGTACCTAGTTTTTCTTCTCCCCGCTCTACTCCTCAAAAAAATGACGAGTTGAGTTCAAAAAAATTTGTTTCATCTTAAAGTACTTCTACCAGATCTTTTTAAAAATACATAATAAAATATATGAAGTTTTAATTTAACAATCTAAGCTTAATATACTAAACACTTCTTGAAAAACGTACTTACATATGCCTCATTCACCGCTACGTTCATTTTATAAGCACGCACAATCAGCCAGAGGTTACCCAGTACCGGTATTAATATTTTCAATATAAAACATGGCTGCCGCAGAACAAATATTGCCCTCTAATTGGTTTCTGACGTTGATTAATGATGTGATGCTGAAGCTGTTCTCCCTCAATCGTTTCGCCACCGTGAACATATTCATTATAGGCGGTGAAATTGTAGTATTTTGGCAAATACTCTCGAGGAAGTAAACAAATGTTACATTGTGGTGGTTTATCCATTAGTTTTGGAATATAAAATGTACGTTAAACATTTCGACACTAAATATTTAGACGGGAGTGTGTAGAGTTACTCTCTTTAGGTTCTTAGTTTTAACTTTGCCTTACAAAATCAAGTGTCCCACACTTGTGAGCCATGTTTCGGCTTGAATGGAATTCCATGGCCTAACAGGATAACGATGTAAAACAATACACACTTACGTTATTTTTCACCGTGGGTGTTACCGATATACTCTCCCAACATTTTAGTTTGACAAAAGCCAATTTATTTTAAACTTTACTCCATGCCAGGATATTCTCCTATGTCTTCGATGCGTTTACCAACATATGTATAATTTCACCTAGACTCAGACTTCTAACATCAATTTATGGATCACATAAAGAATTGTTGCGTGCGGAAACCGAACCTGCGACACGTTGTGCGGCTGCCCATTTCCAAGCCACCACGCCTACTGTGCAGACAATAAGTAATATGTGGATAATACAATAAGATAGCATTCAGTTTTCTCTTCCTGATAGCCAGATCTTAAGTATTTATTCTTTCTTAATAACTGCATTTAAATTTTCAAATGGAACATTTAGAATCGACTTATATTCAGAATAATAAATAGTCAAGGTATTTCCTCGCTATTTGAATACAGTTACTTCAAAGGATTGTAGAGTTAATATTGTTGCGGTGCCAAAGCCACCGCTAATCGCGTGCCTCGGCCAGCGGTCGAAGTGTGGAGGCTAACATTTAACACTCTAATTAGCCTAACAAAGAAGGACAGTTAAAGAAACACTTTCAGACATTGGAATGCAAATTATTCCTATTTCATTTAAAATTCTATTGCTTTTTAAGTTTCGTGTTTAAGGGGTAAATAGAACCCTATTACTTAGAGATAACCACGGCTTTGTGTTTCGCCGTGTGACTTAGGTTACCGGAGGCCAAATCATTCTTGTAAGTTTCTAAGAGCTGTTCGACTGGAGTGATACTAGTAATTGATATCACATCCTTACAAAAAACCAGAATGAAATAACCACAGCGTTGTGTTTTGCCGTATGAGTACGGTTACCGGAGTCCAAATGCTTCTTTCCCTTCTTTCCCTTCCCCAATCTCTCCTTAATCTCTATATGTCCGAAAACCTCATTCCCTAAACCGAAACCGTAACTTAACTGGGTGTACATAGGCGCTGTTATCTTACCATCAGGTTATCCCGAGGATAAATCACCGTTTTGGCATAAAACAAAAAAACGGACAGACATATTAGTTGCCATGCTCAATTTTACTTCTAACGGGTTATCAAGGCAAGTTTATAATCAAACAACACTTAAAGAAAGTTTACATGGCATGTCCTTTCATTACTTTACTCACACGCAATATATTAAAAAACTAATGCCCGGTTTCCGAAAGCCCGATCAATGTTAAAATCAATTTAATCTCTTGTCAAGTCATCTGATTGGTTGACTGAATTATCAACAACCAATCAGATGACTTTCGGAAACCGGGTGTCAGTCTAAAAAGTCATGCCGCGTTAATGTCTTAATAGTCTTTTAAACGAGCAGAACCTGAAGGTAATCATTATATTTGCAGGAGGGCGAATTATTACCAAGTCAAGACACAGTCGTGCTGCCTTCGCCAAGACACCACGACAGTTCTATGGATGAAGATGCCACAGATCCTATGCCAACTGTAGCGACATCTAACAAGGTATGCTAACGTAATTTCTTTGGTTCCTAACTTTTAGTATAATAAAAACATTATTACATTTCATTTTTAATCCAATCATTTTTTAAAAGTAACATAAATATTGCCATTGTAAAGCTGTCTCCAATTAGGCGTCTACCAAAACTAAGTTGCATAAAAGCAACTTACTGTACTAGCTTCGAAAACCATTTGCTTGCCGAATGTGTATGTGTAAACGCCTTATTGCTTGCTAGCCTGCAACATATCGCAAGACATAGCACATTGGTTTATGTCCAGAGATTGAAAATCAATTAAAAATATCATTGAATTTGGATTGGAACAAATAAAGCCTTATCCACTCACGTCAGCTAACTGAAAAAATCTAGGCTGCAACGTGAATCCTCCTGAATGAGAGTTTCGTTGTGACTTGAAAATTTTAAAGCTATTTCTTAGTAAATTCACTTTAGTAACTCGTTATTTTCAATAATATAAAAGAACAAGAGAATATTTTATCATCTTTTTCAGGTGGCTTCAATAAGCCAGTTGTCCTTTATGGTGAGGCCAGACAGCTTCGAGCGAGGTCAGTTACGACTGACCTGCATCTCCACAGTCCACTCGGTGTACAGCGAACAAGCCGAGCTGGTCATCAATGAGGAGCGGCCCCAGATCGCTTCTGTTCTTGGGACCAGGGATTCAGCAGGAGGTAAGGATACATTTAAGTTGGAAAAACATTTAGAAACTGAATAAAGTCAATGCTGTCACATAAAAAAATCTTCAATCAAATATGGTAAGTTTACATAAAGACACTGCGATTACTATTTACGCAATAAGAAACAAATTATAGGAATAATGAAGAAACCCCAGAAATAATGAAGTAATAAGTAACTTCAGAATGGCTTCAGCAGCCGTGTTCAATGTACCACGCGGTAAAAGTTAATCCAAACTCAATATCAGAAAAGCAATAAAAGTGAAATAAATACTATTATTAGTGTGCGTGGAAAACACTCGGACTCGTATAAATCATCGCTTTTATCGGAGCATTTAAAACGTTTTTCGACATTAATCACGAACGGATCGAAAGCTTTCACGGCTCGTCACGGTCCAATAAACAACATTATGCAGTACCTGTTACTGGAAATAAACTAGAAAATTGCCCTCGTTCAACAAGGCACAGACCGAGCCAATATTTTACATGAGGAATTTTCTTTGAGATTTAGACTTTGGATCCCGGTTGAATACTTTGAGTGGCGAATCGCTAAGAATTTTTATTTCTCGATGTAAACACAACGTTTGAATACGTAGAAGGCACACCAATCCCACTCTACAATTCAAATATTTGTAGCAGCCGACTTGCAGTGCAATTTGCCACGAGAAGTTTTCCAGAATGCTGCATCATCGCAAATATGTGAAAAATGCAAAAAATACACTGCAAACATAATTATTTTACTGATAGAAACTATTCTTGGGTGTATGTTAGCAGTTGGGAAGATGGCTGATAACTGCACTGTTATCGTTGTGCACACTTATTTGAACATGCTTTCTTGAATTCTCGGAAACTTTGTTTTAACCTGATAAGATTATTTTTTCAAACTCACCGCTTTCTCCTCTTGTTTGTTAAATTATTATGTTTCTGCTAATAACAATACTAGCCAGTTACGATACAATAATTTAGCTAAAATTGAAAACTACATAAAATATGTTGTTTAAAGAATCTTATTTAAAATCGAGTCTCACGAAGTTTACTTGCGTGATCGAATCAGAAATGAAAGGATTTGCTACTGGACTGTAACCAACCAACATTGTAGGAATTGCATAACTTAAGTGGCAGTTGTTCGACATCCAATAAACGTGAAACTGATTGTAGGTTTACATTTATCGACGAATCGTTTAGTTAAACGAAAATAAGTACAATAAATATGATTTTAATAAAGTTTAGCCATTACGTATCAGAAACAAAATTGCTTTTTATAAGATGTTTCTGATTTGTGATTGAAGGAAAAGTCTACAGTAATATAATCCTGAATCCTGAAAAACTAAGTTATCTATTTTATCTGGACAAAGATCAAATAATAAGAATAAAAGTGGTCTACGCAGGCACTATAAAAATATAAGTTATGGGAAATCTAAATGCCACACGAACGACTAAAGTAATCACAAAACATCAATATGGATTTTCACCAATAACGGGTAGGTATTAATAGTTTGTGGAACATCAAATCGGCAAATCCTTCTATATGTAGGCAATCACTCAAATATTTGCTAGTGTTGGTATCTAGCATTGAGGATGTTTGTCGACTGTGAATGTTCCGGTCCACTGAGCAAAGGTAATGTTTAGCGTAGCTTGCGTTGTAGTCTCTTGTTTGTGAGCGCGCAAATAGCTTGGTTGTGCCGTCGCATCACCCAGGATTATCGCGTATTTGCATTCGTGTGACTTTGGCAACTTAAGTAACAGCACTGTTTTGCTAACGTGATCCGATCCGTTTTGGTGTACTTAGCAATTGACATCCACAAAATACAACAGAACTCTCTGAATCTCGCTTATTGTAAGTTTGACTTCAATGTTCTAGTTTTGAATTTCGATCCTGACAGGTCAAAGCTGACGCTTTAACAGTAACAGCTAACAAGTGTAATCCAAATAACTTGGCGATGAATTTACTTTTAACATGCTCAGTAAAAACAAAGTAGTATTTGGCAAATTATACCTTCTTTTGATAACAAAAGAGTTTACTTAAAATTACGCATTGTTGCATTATTGGGTTGCAGGGTAAGTGTAATGAGGCACCACGGTCTCGGCCCAGAGCAGAAGAAGGAACGGGCGGATTTTTGGTCAGTAAGGGTCTGACACTCTCTCTTGCCTTACCCTGGGCGGCAGAAGTCATTTGATGATTTTACTCTGACCAAAGAAAAGGCTCTACGCTCGCATTTTTAGTCCTACTCTATCATCACAAAAGAAACTACGTATAAGTACTATGCTTACACTTGAATAAAATACACCTAGTTTATTTTATTGTGTAGTATTATTTTTATTGTATCCATGACATGTCATCGCCTCTTTGTACGTCCGTATGTAACTATCTATTTGAACGACAGATATTTGTAAATTACATTGCGTAGCTGTCAATGTCAGAGGCTACATGCGAATACGAGCATACTAGGGAATATAGGAAAATGGTGGATTTTTTCGAGCTTTTTAATACACCAATAGGCTTTTGTAGGCTTATAGGTATGAAATGTATAGTTTTTTGTCGAATAGAAATTGTTCGCTTTGTATATTAAGTTACGCGATTTTCCCCTGAAGCATTATTTTCATTCTGAGAATTCATAAGTTTCGTTGATAGGACGGCAAATTCCTAAGGACACCTGTAACAATAGAGAAGTTACATGTGCATTATCGGCCTGTTTTGGATTAGGATTTTGAAGATTTAGGGATTGGAGGAGGGAAAGTATTGGGCCTCGGTTAACCGAGGCCCAATACTTTCCAAACAGGCGGCGAAAGATAACACTTGCTTGCACTTTAATTCAGATACTCTATTCCTCGATTATTTTTATCCGGTGTCACTGTTATTAAACAATAAAAAGCTAGGTACGCCACTAGCCGTTTATTTATTATTTCTAGACAAGAGTAAAACCTCTTTGAAATTCCCTATTTTTCCCTTCGTTATTTAGGAACGATGGAGCACTTCAAATTTGAATGCTGTTCTTAAAAACCAAGGACGCCATCACAGTATAATGATAACAGCACCTAGTACGATAATAATTATCAAGTTGATAGTTATCGCTCGTTTTAGATAGTCGTCAACATTGACGACACGCGACGCTCCTGGCGCCGCCGGTCTAATTGAATTGTTGAGCTGTTCGCAATAGTTTACTAACTGCAAACTCTGTTATACTATGGTTTCATTACTAATTTACTTGGTTATTGGGTTCGTGTTTGCATAAAAATTGTACAGCATGCATGCATTATAAATATCAAACATAAGTTCACCACAGTAGGCGACACTCCGAACGTCAAAGATTGAGTCCGGTCACTGTAAGCACGGCAAACAAGGCCTAGACATGAAAGAGATAATAAACCACCACAGGCGGAGCCCTACAGACCCGATGCTAAAATTATGGCAATAAGGTACCGCGGCCTCAGCCTAGGGCAGAAGAAGAAACGGAGTTTTTTAGTCAGTAAGAATCTTACACTCTCACTCACTTCAACCTGGGCAAGAGCACCTAAACCTCACAAAAAAGTATAAATGTGTTAGCTGTAGTTAGCCCATATTTTTTTAAGGCTCGTCATCCATTTTTACCTTATCCATAGTCTTTTTTGACCAACCTTATCCTCCTTCAGTTTAGAACTATATGCATGTTCTAGTCTGCGCAAGATGGTGCTTTTACTTTAGACGATTGCTGTTAAAAAGGTACAGGCTTATCAGTAATATTTTCCACCTGATCTGTCATAATTATGTATTGTATATAAGTCATCTCCTACCACACTCGCTAAAAGACTAAGTGTGCTTACAAATATCTGTATTCTATTTTCAAAACATTGTTTAATTGACATCAGCTATGCAACAGTCGATATTCCCAGAAGATTTACAACTACGTCGTAACGGAGGTACAGTGTGCACAAACTCTTACACGTCTAGACGTCATTACCAAGTACAAACAAACGAACATCGGAACAGTATTTATGTATCGGGTTCTACCGATGAGCTTATACAGGGTGCATTGATTTCAATGTCTAGACGGAATACATTAAGACAGTCGTTTCGTAATAATCGAAACTGAAATAAAGACAATAGTTACTGTATCATTGCATTCGAGAAATAATTGGGTTTTTGCCTTTTGTAAAATAATTAAGTTTTGTGTGGTTTGTATAATATTTAATTTTATGTGCTGCAAGTGCAACGATATTTTTATCTATATTTACTTATCTACTACTCTATGTATCACAAATACATAGAGTTAATTATTTTGTTTTCGGCTTACTCACGTAATAATTTGACGAGATACTCGACTAGTTTCAAGCCATGCTACAGGCCTATATTCATGAGCAGCATTCCGCGATACGCGACTCGGCGATTGTCGCGCTGCTACTGAATATGAATGTATCTCGTCAAATTATTACGTGAGTAAGCCGGAAACATAATAATTAATTTAGAATGTTTCACGAAAGTAATAATAAAAACACATAGAGTAGAAGATAAGCAGAATAGATTTGACTGTTTCTGCACTGATGAATCATAAAAATGTATTTAAGAAAACTTATATAAATACTCCTTTAAAGTCGCACATTATACCATCTTCCAAGGAAAAAAAATACAAGGTCCCGCTAATCAGAACCGGAGTAGAAAAACGTGTAAAGCAATGAAATAATTAAGTTTAATTTACGATAAGGCGTTAAAAAAACGAAAACAATAATTAAATATTCATTACGGGGTATTATCCCATTTTATTTTCCGACGAAAAATTCGCGAAAATACTTCGCGCTTTTTTGTTAAGTGAGATCCGCTGGATTACTGAGCACTCGTACTGTTTTATCGATATCGAGATTATAGTATTCGAAATGCTTTAAATCTGAAGCTATTTTTTTAATACAACACGTTTTAGAGGCTGTAAATTTATTGGGTACTACCTACAATAACTTTGAAGTAAATCACAAACAAATATTTTAAAATAATATTTTGCATTTTTTAATGGTATAAGTCGGCAAACGAGCAGACGGATTACCTGATGGTAAGCAATCGGCTCCGCCCATGGACACCCGCAACTCCAAATGAGTTACGAGTGCGTTGCCGACCTTTTGGGGATATGGGTTGCGGATAAAAGGATCGGGAAGAGATAGGGGAAGGGGAGGGATTGGCCTCCGGTAACCTCACTCACACGGCGAAACACAACGCTGGGTTGTTTCACGCCGGTATTCTGTGAGGCCGTGGTATCACTCCAGTCGAGCCGACCCATTCGTGCCGAAGCATGGCTCTCCCACATTTAATGTTATCTATGTATGTAAAATTCAATGCCACTTTTCATTATAATTTTATAACTCAACAATGCCTTTACTACCGATTTGGCTAATTTTAGTCTTGAATTATTCGTGGAAGTCCAGAGAAGGTTTGTACGTAGAGAAAATCTTTAAAGCGGCGGTGCCATGGGTGACCGCTGGTTTGAATAAATATTTGTGTACCAGCAACACGCCCCACCTCCCTGCAAGAGCTATGTCTTCGCTAATACAAATTCGAATGATTTACGACAATCACAATTTCTAAGCCGAAGCAATAATACCATTAGTCCTTTCATCACCATTGCTTAGTATAGTATTTGCTAATATGACGTCACTTATCAATCACTTTACATACAGCTAACGGTCAAGTAATCCAAACGGCTCACTAACGCCATCTAGTGACCGCGAAATCAAAATTTCACTGTGGCAAAATCTAAAGTTATAAAATTATCGAACTTTTTTTAATCATCCCACCTCTATCTCGGGATACCCATTAACGTTATTACGCTAATGATTCGCTGGAGTAGGCCGCCCCCCTAATTACAAAACAAAGCTTCTTAATAAGGATATTTCTTTTAACCGTCCCATGCCGACTGTGGGGGTCGCAGAGTGACTTTTGTACTGTTTTTTGATCGATGATTATGATTTTATCATTGGATCTCAGATTTATTTTCATCTTATATGTTTAAACATATTAAAGAACAAGTTAGTGATATATGTACAGTAAAATGGCACTAGATCTTAAAATGCCGCTTACGAGTTTATTCACATTTTTTAGAAAAATCCCAATTTATTTTTTTAGGCTAATTAATAACCCACTTATAATAATCAAAATTCCAAAAAAGATTAACAACATAGCTTTTAGCAATAAAAAAAACCAATTAAACCGAGTCGTAACTCAACAAAAACTCATTTCTAAACTGAACAATTCCGAATTCAAACAAAAGTCATGGCCACCATTCAAACCGAAAAAAAGTAGTTGTAGCTTTGTAACGCTGTGAATGCGCTCCTCCGAAAAATTAAAAAAAAAAAAAAACAATTGCCTCGCACCGCGCATATATAACCCAGACAATAGTTACAAGAAATATATGAGCCATATTAACAATACACGCAGACATTTTTATACATTTTTGTTCTACCAGCACCGACGCGCTTAAACGGAAGCAATAACCTAACAGTCCGGACGTTTACGCCATTTTATTTATATATATAACGGCAATAATGCCAGTGTTTGCATAGCGAGATATAAAAATTATTCAATTTTCGTTTGTGGATTTTTTTAACACTTCATCTGACATGTTTGTTTTTGATTGTCAAGTTGCGCTGTTAAATGAGAGATTTTGTTGTATGGGCAGTAAAAAAGCTTGTAAACTGCTTAATGGAAAAAATATGCGAATTTTTGTGTACCGTCGTGTTTTGAGGGTGCGATACTGTTATGTGTATATTTGCTTTATTTATGAGTCCTGGGCAATGATACCGAATTCTGACTTTATATTAGGTGGAGTAACAATAATTATATTTGAAACGTAAATAAAATGCGCGGTGGTTTGGTTGCACAATAAAAATAATTTTTGTTTCGTATATTAAACTACCTAGCTGCTTTCAACGGCTTCACCCGCATTTTTTTATGTGATATGTCGGCTAACGAGCGAACCCATGAATACGCGCAGAAGTATTGGGCCTCCGGTAATCTCACTCACACGGCGAAACATAACGCTGTGGTTGTTTCACGCCGGTTTTCTGTGAGGCCGTGGTCGAGCGGACCTATTCGTGCCGAAGCTTGGCTCTCCCACATTTATATACCGCGTTCCCAGGATATAAAGGTCTTTATGTGTTGGGCAAACATTGAGATGGCAATCATTATGATTGCCATATCAATGTTGGGCTCAGTGAGAACCTTATCATCATGGATTACCGCCTTGGAATGATGCACGGACCAAACGAAAGTAAAATACAAAAATAATAAATGAATTCAACAGGCATTGAATTTATCAACCTAAATACAATACACAAAGTAAGCGAAATGCGCAAGCAATGAATTCAATATTTCATTCCACGCACGATTATCCTGGGACTTTGCTAAAGAGAGTTAAAATTAACATGGCGTCATAATTAAATGTCAATAATCAGAAAATTTTACAAGTTCGTCATTAAATAGCAGAGGGTCGGTGTAATTATTAATTTTATAACGCAATAAATACATCAGTGGTGGCTTTTAAAATCAGTATTTAACTTTGTTCCTGAAAATATGTTTATTATAAAATTTATAGAGATTTTATCAGCAAAAAGTATTTTCTGTGTCATTTTACCTCCTTATTATTTTTGTGTCGAGTAGAGTGATACAATGGCCTCACAAAATTCCAGTATGAAACACGCGGGTGTCTATGGACGACGTCGATTGACGACCTATCACATAAAAGAATAAAGTATTTGTTTACTTTGTATATGAAACTTATTAACGATCAAAATTCCATGAAACTAAAACTGAATTTTCCAGCTTTAGTTTCGTATTTTTTGACATCAAAAGCCTAGACCATTCAAGTTCAATAATTAAAATTTCTTTGTACATATTGTTACGAGCCTGACGTCACGTTCCTGACTATGCGGGCTTGAGTTACGGGATTGGATGAAATGAAACACTAATGCCGGTTTTCAGACTTTCTATTGCACTTAAGTTACAGCGTCCACGGAGTTAAGTTATCGGCGTTCCTCTCCAGCAGAGTCCGGCCGACTGACACAACTTTGCCGTTCACACTGACTTAACTCACTTAAGTGACTGCACTTCACTATTTCACTGCACTTCACTATTTCACTCACTTTTCTTCTTTTTCACTTCTTCCTTTTCTTCCGAATCACTTTAGACTTAGAACTCAACTGTCAGCGGTGAGCCGCAGTTCTGCTTATATACCCCCGGTCAGGTTCTGGAACATTCAATTTCGTTATTCTTTTTGATCGTCATGCCTCCAGAACCTTCCAATAATTTCGCTATTCATTTTTATTTATTATCCTTCTCACTCTTTAATTTTTCATCTCTTTCACACAAATAATTCCAGAAAGTTCGACAAAACTTCCATCAACTAAAAAACTTCATGTTTACGGCGGGACTCGAACTCGGGGTCTCTGTGGTGTAATCCACACGCCTTACCAATTACACCAACTCGTATTGACAATTCACGACGAAATTTACAATCTCTAGGCAACGTTTGACAACCATCCATTGACGTCATGATGTCAAAGAGTTTTCTGTCACACTGCCCCCCTCTTAGATTCGCTCGTCCCGAGCATCGTTGCTGCCGTAATACCTCGCCAACCTGTCTATATGGACAACTTTCAAAGGGCTCCTTGAAGACTTCCGAATTCTGTAAGTAATGTCATTGATCTTCGTGACTATCTCGTAAGGACCTTCCCAACTCGGTTGCAGCTTTGGAGATTTTCCCTTCCTTCTGACTGGATTATGAAGCCAGACCAATGACCCCTCTTCAAACCCAACAGAATTGGCTCGTCGATCATAGCGCGTCTTTGCGCGATCACTAGCTTGAAGACCGGCCTCCCTGATCTGCTCATAAATGTCCAACATTTTTGCCCTTAACTCGCTTATGTAATCGCTAAACTCGGTGCGAGAGTCACCAGGTGGACAGCCCGACACAAGATCTGCCGGTAATCTCAATTCCCTTCCAAAATTTGCAAATGCAGGCGTCTTTGCGGTACTTTCATGTACAGCAGTCCGATAGGCAAGCAAGAAGAGAGGTATGTAAGTGTCCCAATCTCTCTGATGGCTGTCAACCACCTTTGCTAAGTGTCGCTCCAATGTTTGGTTGAAGCGTTCGACCATTCCATCTGACTGTGGATGATAAGGGGTCGTTCGAGTCTTATGGATTCCCAAAAGTTTACAAGTTTCCTGGAAAACTTGGGATTCAAAGTTCCGTCCTTGATCACTGTGCATCTCCAAGGGCACTCCGAATCGGGTGAATACCTCGTTTACCAACTTCGTGGCTACAGTTACTGCCTCTTGATTCGGTATGGCAAAGACCTCCGGCCATTTTGTAAAATAATCCATAACCACTAAAACGTAGCGATTGCCCGAATCAGTGATTGGAAATGGTCCAGCGATGTCTAAGGCTATTCTTTCCCAAGGCATACCAACATTGTAGATTTTCATCGCCCCCCTGCTCCTTTTTTGTGGACAATGACAGCTGCACAACTAGTGCATTTCCGGCACCAATCTTCGACGTCATATTTGCAATGCAACCAGTAAAACCTCTCCTTGATCTTCACCAAAGTCCTCCTAATTCCCAAATGTCCTCCAGAAGATCCATCATGGAACGCTTTTAATACATCCCTTATTTTTGAACGAGGCACCACCAATTGCAAATGCTCGTCCTTGCCGTTTGTTGATTCCCATTTCCTGCACAGAAGTCCGTTATGCAGCGTAAGGCTTTTCCACTGTGCCCATAAACCTTTCGTTACCGCGCTATATTGGGCGACGTCACTCCAACTTGGCTTGTTACCACTTCGTAGCCACTCCAGTATTGGTTTAATATCTGCATCTCTTTCCTGTTCTAATTTCATCGCATCATTTCCCCATGCCTCGTCAACAGTATCAGTCCTTATCACCTTAAGAAAAGCAGTTTCCTTCTTAGCACAATGTTTGCAATCTTCCACGCATGGGCGTCTCGATAATGCATCTGCGTTGCCATGAATTCTTCCGCCGCGATGTTCGATTTCAAAGTCAAATTCCTGAAGTTGTTCCAGCCATCTGGCTACTTGGCCTTCGGGATCCTTAAACTGAAGCAGCCATTTCAAAGCAGCGTGATCAGTTCTGATCAAAAATTTCCGTCCCAGTAAATACTTCTTGAAATGGTGCAGGGTTTTGACTACGGCCAGCAATTCCCTCCTGGTCACGCAATAATTCCTCTCTGGCTTGGATAGTGACTTGCTGAAGTAAGCAATAACCTTCTCCTGCTCACCATCGCGTTGTGAAAGGACACCTCCTATTCCAATATTGCTGGCATCCGTATCAACTACGAATATTCCTTTCGCGCTGGGATATCCGAGAATTGGTGTGTTACAAAGCCGTTCTTTTAGTTCTCGAAAGGCTTGCTCACAATCCTCGTCCCAAACAAAGGCACGTTTATCCTCTGTCAATCGATGCAATGGCTTGGCAATGTCCGAGAATCCTTTCACAAACCGCCGATAATACGAGCACAATCCAAGAAATGCCCGAACTTGCGTTTTGTCTTTAGGTGTTGGCCATTCCTTGACAGCGACAGTCTTGGCTGGATCAGTCTCAATTCCTCTCTCAGAAATAACATGACCTAGATAATTCACTTCGCGCTTGAAGAAAGAGCATTTCTTTGGACTCAACTTTAAATTTGCTCCACGCAGCTTGTCGAGTACCTTTTCCAATTTCCTTAGATGATCGTCAAAATCCCGTCCAACAATGATGATGTCATCGATGTAAACTAGGCAGGTTTCGCCCAGCAGTCCCGCCAGCACCTGTTCCATCAAACGCTCAAAAGTTGCCGGTGCATTGCATAATCCAAATGGCATCACCTTAAATTGCCAGAGTCCCTTCCCAGTTGAGAATGCGGTCTTTTCCTTGTCCTTGGGATCCAAATCCACCTGCCAATAGCCGCTTTTCAGATCGAGCGTTGAAAACCATTTCATGCCACTCAATGTGTCAAGTGTGTCATCGATTCTTGGTAACGGGTAGCTATCCTTCTTGGTTACATCATTCAATCGTCGATAGTCTACGCAAAACCTCGTTGAACCATCTTTCTTCTTGACAAGCACGACAGGTGAACACCAAGGGCTAGAAGAGGGCTCTATCACGTCATTTTTCCTCATATCGTCAATCATTTCTTCAACCTCTTTCTCACGAGCGAATGGTATGCGTCTGGGCCTTTGACGAATTGGCATTGTATCACCTGTGTTTATTTTATGCTTCACCAAACCAGTTCGGCCAATATCACCATCGCTTCTTGAAAACACATCAGAGAATCGAAGAAGTAAATTTCTAGCTTTCATAGTCTCCACTTTTGTCAGACTTTTGTTTTCGTCTAAGATTTTCGTTACAAAGTCAATTCCCGTACTGTCCTTCTTCACAAGATTCTCCGAGCATTTTCTTATCCAGGCCACTTCTTCCAATACGCCCACAGGCTCTCCTTCTTCAATCGTAATTTTTGAATCACTGAAGTTGAGTACCGGAATGCGGTTGACATCAGATGACCCCACGACAGTTCTTGCCGGTAGCCATGAGCTTACGTGTTCCGATTTATCAATCACAGCGCACCTTCGAGGTAAACTTCCTTCCTTCCTCCTAGGTAATGCGATTGGTACGAGAGTCTGTGATTTTGGTGCAAGAACAGTTCTTCTTAAACAGCAAACTTTTCCCAGGGTTCCACCCTTCATCGGAATTTCCTCAGTTCCACATAGTAAAACTCCAGATTTTAAGTCGATGTTACACTGGTGCCCTTGCAGGAAGTCAAGTCCCAGGATGCAGTCATCCAGAATTTTGGCCACAATAACCTCATGTCGATAAACACGTTCCCCAATTTTGATTGTTACATGCAGTTTTCCACTTATCGGTATGCACTGGCCGGTAGCTGATTTCATTTGTAGGCCAACAATTGGTTTAAGGTGTTTCCTGATGTTTTGCTCGAGCAGCCGAACATTTATCACCGTCCTTGAAGCTCCAGTATCTAATGTTAGCTGACTGTTTTTCCCATTTACTTGACCGTCTATCACCAGAGTATTTCCATCGTTGGTTTGCTTGATGTAGATTATTGGGGTTGTTCCACTACCAGCCAGCGCCCACCCCGCAGCCCTGGCTGGATTTAAGTTTCCCTGCTGGTCAGAAGTTGAGACCGCCGCGTCCTGGCGGTTCATCTTCTTCGGGCAGTCGCTCCGTATGTGCCCACGCTCTCCA